GAGTGAAACTCTGTCTCAAAACAAACAAACAAACAAAAACAAGAACAAAAAAAAAGCACAAGTTTTTTTTGGTCTCAGCTTCCATGTATTTTGGGATCTTTCTGCTTCCTTAAATTTTTATATTGATTATGTGGTTGTGCACAGGTTGCCCTGTATCAGTTTGGTCTGGTCTACTGGGGCCTAGTTCTCAAGATCAGTCTAAAACTATGCCTCTCATAATTTTGTTTAATAATCCCCATCTTTGGCTATATTGTCAACTAGATAAAAGTGTGTCAAAATAGTCACGTTTCTTAGAATGTCATTTCATTTGAAGAGGACTATTTGACATATTATAGATGCTGCATGCAAACATTTAAAAGTTTTGAGAGAACCCAGGAAGACTATTTTATGGCAAATAAGGTCTTGTTATGGGAAGAAAAAAAAGATTGTAAACAATCTTCTTTTGTCTCATATTCAAAGGACTTTGAATTTGTTCAAGTCCTCATGAACAAAACCAAATGAAACTTTAAGGTGAAATAATGATCCAAATGAGTTGACTCATACTAACCAAGTAGCTTGTCAGTTAGTCCACTGTAATTGCCTTTGCAAAATAACCAATGTATTTTTTCTATGGCCAAAAAGCAGTCTCAGCACTGATAAGCACTTCCATAAATATAGCTCTCTCTGCTCACTTTTGATTATTATTTGCTTGGAAGAGATTTTTTAATCCCTTTACTCTAATATTTTATATATATTCTGAGGCTAAGTATAATGTAAGGCTCCCTAAGTATAATGTGAGGCTCTTTTATGCAGCACATTGTTAAATATTGGGAGGATTTTTAATCACCTTTTTTTACACTGTGTCATTTTATTGGCTAATTCAATTTATGAACACTTAAAACATTTAAACAGTATATGAGAAACTGCTCCCATAAGCCAATCGCCTTACATTTGGTCCCTCCTTCAAAACGTGGGGATTATAATTTGAGATGAGATTTAGGTGGGAACAGAGCCAAACTATATTGTTTCAATCCTACTTCCTCCCAACTCTCATGTCTTTTTCACATTTCAAAACCAGTAATGCCTTCCCAATAGTCCCCCAAAGTCTGAACTCATTTTGGCATTAATTCACAAGTCCAAATCTAAAGTCTTATCTGAGAAAGGGGAAGTTCCTTTTGCCTATGAGCCTAGAAAATTAAAGCAAGTTAGTTACATCCAAAATATAATGGTAATACAGGCATTGGTAAAAGTTACCATTTCAAACAGAAGAAATAAGCCAAAGCAAAGGGGCCACAAGCCCCATGCAAGTATAAAACCTGGCCAGGCAATCATTAATCTTAAAGCTCCAAAACGTCATTTGACTCCGTATCTTACATCCAGGGGATGCTGATGCAAGGGGTGAGCTCCCACAGCTCTGTCCCCGGGTTTTGTAAGGTATATCCCCTGTGGCTACTTTCACAGACAGGTGTTGAGTGCCTGCAGCTTTTCCAGGCACATGATGCAAGCTGCCTGAGGATCTACCATTCTGGGGTTTGGAGGACAGTTGTCCTCTTCTCACAGTTCCACTAGGCAGTGCCCAGTGGAAACTGTGTGTGGGAGTTCCAATCCTACATTTCCCCTCCACACTGCCCTAGCAGAGGTGATCCACGGGTGCTTCACCCTGAGCAGACTTCTGCCTGGACATCCAGACATTTCCATATAACCTCTGAAATTTAGGCAGAAGTTCCCAAGGTTCAACTCTTGTCTTCTGTGCACCCAGAGGCCTAATACCACATGGACACTGCCAAGGCTTGGGGCTTGCATCCTCTGAAGCAAAGGCCCAAGCTATACCTTGGCTCCTTTTGGCCACATCTGAGTTAGAGAGGCTGGAATGAAGGGTGCCAAGTCCCAAAGCTGCAAATGACAGCAGGGCTCTGTGCTCAGCCCATAAAACTATTTTTCTTCCTAGGCCTCTGAGCCTGTGATAAGAAGAGGTGCCTTGAAGATCTCTGGCCTTTCCTAAGTAATATTCCCCATTGTCATCACTATTAAACATTCAGTTCCTCATTTGTTATACAAATTTCTGCAGTCTTTAATTTCTTTCCAGAAAATGATGGGGTTTTTTGTCTTTTCTATCACATGGTCAGGCTGCAAATTTTCCTAACATTTATGGGTCTGATTCCCTTTTAAACAAAAGTTCCAATTTCAAACCATCTCTCTCAAGTTCAAAGTTCCACAGGGCAGGAGCAAAATACCACCATTTGGTTTGCTGAAGCATAGCATGTGTTTCCTTTACTCCAATTCCCAAGAAGTTCCTCATTTCCTTCTGAGACTATCTCAGCCTAGACTTCATTCTCCATGTCATTACCAGTATTTTGGTCAAAAACATTCACCCAGTCTTTAGATAAAGTTCCAATATTTCCCACATAATCCTCTCTTCTTCTGAGCACTTCAAACTGTTCCAACCTTCCCGCATTACCCACTTCCAAAGTAGATTCCACATTTTCAGGTTTTCTGCAATACCCCATTCCTGGTACCAATTCTCTGTATTAGTCTGTTATCACACTGCTCCAAAAATACGACCTTAGACTGGGTAATTCATTAAGAAAGGATATTTAATTGACACACAGTTGTGCACGGTTGGGGAGGATTCAGGAAACTTAAAATCATGGTAGAAGGTGAATGGGAAGCAAGACACATCTTACATGGAATGGAGGTAGGAAAGTGAGAGAGTGAAACTGCAGAACATTTTTAAAACCATCAGCTATTGTGAGAACTCCCTCACTATCAGGAGAACAGCATGGGGGTAACTAACATCATAATGCAATCGCCTTCCATCAGGTCCCTCCCTTAACACACGAGGATTATAATTCTAGATGAGATTTGGGTGGAGATGCAAAGCCAAAGCATATCAATGACAGCAGTATTTATCTAATGGACCTAAGAGTTATCTCTTTGAAATGTAAACATAAAGACAGAAAGCGCCCCTCTGTTTCCAGTTTCAGTAAAAGGTAAGAACTTAACCTCAGTAGGTGCTTTTCTCTAAATTGCAAAACTACCTCCTGAGATTAAAAATATGAGAAATCAGTTTACCTTCTGATTAAAGACAATTAGCTATGTATAACATATGGTCTTCTGTTACCATTGTAAGCTAAGGGTATGTGACAAATGGTGCTGTTAAATTTTCTTTATTAAAGACTACTGATCAACCAGTAACTGCTTTTAAGAAAATTTGTTTTCCTTAAACACTACTTTGATGCTTAGCTATATAAAAGATGAGATTTCTTTTTTACTTTGTAATCTCTTGGTTGATTTTCTACAATGTACATTAAATTCATATTTAATATTTTTAACAGTAAAACTGATTTCATTCTCTACTGTCCTTGTGGAGAGGATTTCTGGATTCAGAGAAAAATTTATTTTTAATTTTATGTCTTCATCACTAGGCTGTTGAAAACAAAACCATGAAGACTCAAATTCCTTAAAACAAGTAGTGATGATCGGGGTACCACCACTTACCTTGAAGAAAAAAAGAAAGAAAGAAAAGGATTAGGAGGATACTATACTATGCATATCATGGCCAGTTACATGCCCAATAAGATAATTTAGAATAAATGAACAAATTCCTGATACATAGAAACTATTTACCTTGCAGAAAGAAAGGGAAAAAAAAAAAGGATTAGGAAGATACTATTCTTTGTGTATTATAGCCAATTATACACCCAACAAGTTAGATAATTTAGAAAAAATGAACAAATTTCTGATACATACAAACTACCAGAACTGACTCGGGAATAAATATAATACGAATTCATAATCAAAACTAAGGCCTTGGACCATTTAAAGAATTAACGAATTTACATCAAATGTGTCCAAAAACACAGAAGAAAAAGGGACCCTACACAATTCACTCTGTGAAGCCAGGATTATACTGATCCTAAAGCCAAAGTCATCACAAGAAACAAGCCAATATATCTTAACACAGATACCAACATTCTAAACACAATAGTAGCACACACAACAAATCCAGTAAATCAAATGCTTGCATATCACAATCAAATGGAATTTTATCTTGAAATAATTTCACAACAGGCAGTCCATTTGAGACATTTGGTTACTGTAAGATTCAGATGCTTAGTCTCACCCCTTCCTATATATATTTACCTTCCATTTCCTATACATATTTACCGTCTACTGTTTGTCAGTATTCCGCTGGGTGGTAGCAATCTTAGGCGACAGGCCCGGCCTTGGTACTTACATGGTTTAGGGTGAGGTGCTGAGGTAAAGAAGACAGAGACTGAAAAAAAAAAAAGGCCAGGCGCGGTGGCTCACGCCTGCAATCCCAGAATTTGGCAGGCCAAGGCTGATGGATCACAAGGCCAAGGTTTGAGACCACCCTGGCCAACATGGTGAAGCCCTGTATCTACCAAAAATACAAAAATTACCCGGGCAGTTCGCTCCACTGCACTCCAGCCTGGGCAACAAGAGCGAAACTCCGAAGGAGGGAGGGAAGGAAGGAAAGAAGGTAAATAGGGAGGGAGGGAGGAAGCGAGAGAGGGAGGAAGGAAGCATTCTGAACATAGAGGGTCTTGTCCTAAGTCAGTCCTCCAATATTACTGTGTAAGAGTAACGGCTCTCTTAAAATTTAGGTGTTTAAACGACCCACTAACTTGTGAAACTGGAAAACGTTTTTTTAGCAAAGCGGCGGACACCAGGTAACCGCCCCGTTCCATCCTTGACTCCACTTTCTCCACCTTGAGTTCCGCCCCGCTACCTGTTTATTCATCCGGCACCAAACTCTCCGGTATTCCAATGGGGTCTACTAGGTGTCAGTCATTTGGCCACGCCTCAGGCGAAGAGAGGCGCGGAAAAGTATCGCAATTAGGTGCGTCGCCTATTGCTGACGCCAGAAAGTGTGCGTCCGCAGTTTAGCAGAGAGTTCCGTGGCCAGTCTGTTGTGCGCACCCACCTGAGGCATCTTAGGTCAGCCTGCTCTTAGAGAAGTAGTAACCGCCAGAAAGGAGTCGGAAGAGGTCCCACGAGGCTGTCTTCACCGCTATGCCCAAAAATAAAGGTACTGCTGTAAGCGTCTGGGACTATACCTCGGCTTGCTCTGCCAGTAACCCCGACGTCTGTTCCAGGCCGCACTAACTGTTCTTCCGGCGGAACTGGGCACCGCGCCCCCTGCACTCTGTTGGGGAAAGGAGTTGGGAATGCCCGATTTGGTCACATTGGGTGGGAGAGACGCCATTTTTGTTGGGCCTGCTTCGGAAGGTAGCGGGCTTTTGCTACTGTTTCACGCCAGACGGAAGGCGTGTAGGTAGCGGAGGGTTGAGGGACCCTAACCGGACGGCCTGGCTTCCCAGAGTAGGCACCTGCAAACTGCCTTGCTACTTTCCTTTGAAGCAGTTCTTAACTTAGAAGATTTACGTATCTGGACAGTTAAAAGTATTGCTAAGGATACTCCTTTTTCCTTATTAAACAGTGGGGAAACCTTGAAACATGTTTAGGTTCGTCTCTGGCATTTTACTCTACCCCATCCCCTTATAGAGTGTAACATTCTTTTGCAGAAGAATTGTTACATATTTAGGCAAGTTTTTAACTTCCGTATCCGACAAATATCGTGGGAGTAAAGACATCAACCTTCCCTTCATTCAGCGTTTAAACTTTCACACCAAGGTTAGACTTGAAAATAAGTTTACTTACAGTTTCTAAAGTAGGAGGTCTAACCTCGGCAGAACTCTTGCTCAGTCGTTTCTGAAAGAAATTCTCCTTTATATAGACCTGAGGTAATCGCTCACATTTAATGCCCTTGTAATTACTTGAAGAAAACTATAGGTGGAAACAAAATGTATTATTTTCCACAGGAGAGGACCATATTTTTAGTACACAAAAACTCTGCTTAGATTATTCCTTCTTGGGACCCACACCAATTTGTCTTCTTTTTACTTGCTTGTTGGCACCAAGGAGTCTGTTTCATTTTCTCTTTATAGCTGTTACGACACACAATTCGAGGTACTTGGTGACAGTACAGGGCTCTGTTTTCTGGACATTACTCTTTGCTCTCCCCAAAACCCACTAATGAGTTGTTTGTATAAGATTTGTTTGTTTTACTGCAAAATTATTCGAGGATAAAAGTGTATTATGGGAGAAGTCTAATTAGAGTTAGCAAAGGCTTATGATTTTCACTAACATTTTCTCACATGGTACTGAACAACTTCAGTAAGTATGTTCTCACTTTTATTTCTCTTGATGAGATTCTCAGTTCTCTTAAGTTATCGATTCTAAAGATCACAGTATCTCCCTTTGCAAAATGTCCATTAAATCTTTGTTGATGTTGCTATCCCTGTACGTGACTCTAGCCTTAAAATAGTAAAGCTTCCTTTATTCTTGTAGGGTAGAACTTTTAAACTGAGTGATGCTTAAGAAGGTTCTCAGTAAAGAGTATCACCAAAACACATAGGGTTTGTTTAAGGAGAAGGTATGGATTTGTTGGTCATAGAAAGAAAGCAAGATAAAATATTAAACGATTTTAATTGTTATATGTTCATGCCTAGCCTCATTCTTTTAAAATATAATTTAAAGTGGAATCTGTTACATGGTATTACGGTAGAAGGAGAATAATCAGGATTTGGTTAATTCTGGTAAATTGAAAACAAATTTTTGTATCATATCTGAGGCACATAAAAGAAGTACAGTGGCCGGGCGAGATGGCTCATGCCTGTAATCCCAGCACTTTGAGAGGCCGAGGCGGGTGGATCACGAGGTCAGGAGCTCCAGACCATCCTGGCTAACAGTGAAACCCCGTCTCTACTAAAAATACAAAAAAATTAGCCTGGCGTGGTGGTGGCTACTAGTAGTCCCAGCTACTCCAGAGGCTGAGGCAGCAGAATGGTGTGAACCCGGGAGGCGGAGCTTGCAGTGAGCGGAGCGCCACTGCACTCCAGCCTGGCGACTGAGGAAGACTCCGTCTCAAAAAAAAAAAAAAAAAAGTATAGTAATACAGTGAACTCCAGGAAATCCATACCTCTAGGAATTACAACACAGATTCGTTAAAGTCCTCTGTTACCTCTCCCAAATTTATTTTTAAGATTTACTTACCATCCTGAATTGAATGTTTTTATTATTGTGTAAAATCAGTGTTATCCTCTGGGATACTTAGTTGAAGGATATTTTTGAAGACCCCTACGTTTTATGAGATGAGACTTACTAATATAGAAGTAAAACTTGCTCATTTGGCTTTTTGTGTATTTTTGTTTTTGTTTTCATTTGAAAATCCAGATGTCTGTCAATATTGTCGTGGTGAGGTTTATCCAAATAAACATGTAAATGAGCATGGGCCATATGTGGAATTACTTTTTCTTTGCACTCATGCAGCTGGTTTTTTGCAGAAATCTCAGAAACCCATCCTCACATCAGGAAAAGGGCATCCTTTGGCCTGCTTGTGAAGAGCTAGAGTAAGATGCTCCCACCTTTGAGATTGCTGTATGCAATTTAAAAGTTGCCATTCTTTTGCAAATGTGTAACTAATCATGATTTAGTCATTTGAAAAGCTGCCAAACTTTTATAAAACCCAGTAAGCAAAGCAGGTATGATCTTTGTCCTGACGCAGCTAAGTTCAGTCACGATTAATGGCTCGAAATATAGAATGTGTTTTCCTTTGTAGAAATTTAGTTTTGGCATACCCTAAGAAGGCATCAGAATCTGGATAAATCACGAAGTTGTGGAAGCCCAGATTTCTTTTATAGTAGCACAGAACAATGTGAGACTGCCCCAGAGGTAGTGGGTGGATTCAAGAAGTTAGATGTCTGGCTTTGCGGTAGCCAGGTATATATATTTTATTCTATTTGCAGTGTTAACGTTTTTATTCAAATTCTTCAATCGATCCTTTATATTACTGTAATTTGTAGCCTTTCTCCCTCCTTTTGGAAACGGCTGCTATTTTGGTTTACAGTCTCTGATGGTTATAAAATGTTATGGAGAAATACCCCAATTTCTTGATAATTCAATAGAAAATCTCACAAGGAAATATTCTGGATGTGTTTAGTAATAAGCAAAAACTTAAAAATAGAGTGAAACATGACGGCATTTGAAATAGTTATCAAAAGTCTAAGGAAGTGTATATGTAAGCTTTAACCCAGAAATTCTATTTCTGTTCATTTATGAAATTTGTTTGGAGAATAATATTCAATGCAGCTTAATATAATAATATTGAAACATTGGAAGAAATTAAAGTATTAAATATACTTTAACTGTTAAAATGTTGGTCCATATCTACAGCTATTGAAATGAAAAGATATTGAGGACAAATTATTGAGTGGAGTTAAAATATACTATAGAAGAAAATGAATGAAGTCCTGGTTTTATTTGGAAAGCATTGTATAGCTTTATATAAGATATATTCTTGTTTCAGAAGTATCCAAACAAATGTTCAAGAAGCATAGTATTGATATATATCAGTAAAAAGACTTAAAGAGAACCTTGACAGGTTCTGTTAATGAGGTAATGTTAATGTAATGTAAATAAATTTAAACACATTTATTATGTGTTTAAATGATATATTTTTATTTTCCTGCAAGTGGTTTCAAAAACAAACTTCAAAAGCCTTATTTTGTTTTATAGTTTAGTTTATATGATATTATGCAGGTTTTTACAGTTAATTTTTTATCTACTCTTTAATTAGGTAAAGGAGGTAAAAACAGGCGCAGGGGTAAAAATGAGAATGAATCTGAAAAAAGAGAGCTGGTGTTTAAAGAGGATGGACAAGGTAAGACTTTTTAAGTTAGGCTTCTTTTATTAATGTGTTTTGTTGTTGCTGTTGATACAAATTTCAGTCTTTCTCCTAAAGGAATCTTAATCATTATCCTGAGCAGTTGTCCCCATGTTTCCATTTTCCTTTCCCTCATTTCTCATCATCTACATTTCTCCTGTACTTGTTCATTTGATTTCTTGGACATAGTAAGTCTGGATAGAGGATTTGATTGCAGCATTTTTGTAAATATACATTCAGTATTTTGTGTGGAAGAACACAATCTAGCTGATGCCTGCAATCCCAGCCCTTTGGAAAGCAAGGTGCTTGGCTTGCTTGAAGCTAGGAGTTTGAGACCAGCCTGGGCAACAGGGCAGAAACCTGTCTCTACAAAAAAAAAAAAAGAAAAACAAAACAAAAATTAATGGGGCATGGTGTTACACAACTGGAGTCCCAGGTTCTCTGGAGGATAAGGGGAGAGGATAGTTTAAACCCAGGAGGTCAAGCTGCAGGGAGCTATGAGGGTGCCACTGTATTCAGCCTGGGTGACAGAGCAAGACCCTGTCTCAAGAAAAAGCCAAAAGTTCAGAGCAAATTAAGCATAGACTGTTATCATTAAATATTCCATACGTTGGTAATGAGTAATGTAGACCATGGTTATTTGTGAGGATAAAATCTCAAAACCTTTTTGAACCTCAAGTTCTTCAATGCCGCTAGCACATAATCATAAAATGTCATACAATCCTAATAATTGACTAACCCATTGGATTGATAAAGGAGATATAGACTAACATACAAAAAAAAAAGTAAGTTTATTGGGCCACTTGCTTTTTTTCTTTTTTTTCTTTAAGTAATGAGCTTACGAAAAGTTTGTGAGATTAGTACACAACAAAGTTACATGTATTCTTCACCTAGATTCGCCAGTTTTAACCTTTTACATCTTTTACTTTATTTCTATCTCTGAGTATCTGCATGTATACATGTTTTTCTAACTATTTTGAATTTTTATACAGATAATTAGTAACGTGAATTTACAGACTTTACCCCTAAATACTTCAGCATATATCTCATAAGATGAAGCACTTTTCCTTTACTAACTACAGTAGAATTACTATAACATATTTAATTTTAATGTAATACTGTTACCTACTTCTATGCTATGCTGTTACAAGTAGGTAACCACTAACCACATATGACTATGTAGATTAATGTAACTTACAATTTAGATATGTAATAGTTCCATCACAGGTAGGTTTTCGTGAAGACTGCTAACCTCATTGATAATCTGTATTCAGATTTCTTCACAATTATTTTCAGCATGAATACATTTATTGTTTAATAATTTATAAGAAAAGCTAGGTATGTTTCTATAGAATTTTTGGTAGTAACTTTTGTTCTAAATAAAAGCCACTAAAAAGTCAACATCTTTTAATTATATGAAACATATTTTTTGGCAAAAGACACTTATTTAGCCTTCATCTTTTTCACTTCTAATAGACGTTGACTTTACTTTCAGGACAAATTTTTTAATTTTCATTCTCATTTTGTTTTTGTTTTCCTCCGTGTTTCGAAAGTGCTTAGTGATAAGCTGAGCTCACTGTATTGTTGTAAAATGGATGCAGTTGCCACATGTATAACCCCTCAATGTAGCTTTTTCTTTCTTTCTTTTTTTTTCTTTTTTTTGAGGCAGAGTCTCACTTTGTCGGCCAGGCTGGAGTGCAGTGGCATGATGGCTCAGTGCAACATCCATCTCCTGGGCTCCAGCATTTCTCCTGCCTCGGCCTCCCAAGTAGCTGAGATTAGAGGTGTGTGCCACTGCGCCCAGCTAATTTTTGTGTTTTTAGTAGAGACGAAGTTGTACCATGTTGTCCAGGCTGGTCTCAAACTCCTGACCTCAGGTATTGCACCTGTCTTGGCCTCCCAAAGTGCTGGGATTACAGGCATGAGCAACCATGCCTGGCCTGTCATTCTTATTTTCTAAGAACTTTAGAGTATTCACCAAGGTATTCTAAAGTAAACAGGAATTTTTAATAGTTAAGCTATTATTTCTCTTTGTCACTTTTGAGTTTAAGGAGAGTGAAGATAGAGTTAGGGCTCATATGTGAGAGGTTGATGAAGCATTGTAGTGTATATTTTGAAATGTGCCACTTTGATGTTCAAGAGTAGAGTGTACAATCATGACAACAACAGTTGACTTACTCAAAATGAATAGGTAATTAAAATGCCTCTAGTAGCAGAAATAGCTTGCATTGGAAATGGCATTTGTAATCCTGAACAAGTTACTTGACTTAGTGTTTTATTTACTCTAAATATAAAGGCGTTAAAGTATATGAGCATAGCTGGGAGAGGTGTAGAAGTTGACAGATAAAGAATTACCTGGTTTCCCTAAAGTTAGAATGTGTGTCATTTTGAAATACTACTGTCTGAATAAATTATTCAGGCTTTTTGCTGTTTGTTTTATGCTGTTTTTCTTTGTATGTAGTTTGATCCAATTTAGCAGTAAATGAAGCTTTTATTAGCAGGTAAATTTATTTTGTTGTTCAGTTTTGATCTTGACACCCAGGCTGGTGTGCAGTGGTGTTTTCTCAGCTCCCTGCAACCTCTGCCTCCTGAGTTCAAGCCATTCTCCTGCCTCAGCCTCCTGAGTAGCTGGGATTACAGGCATCTGGCACCACACCCAGCTAATTTTTCTATCTTTAGTAGAGACAAGGTTTCACCATGCTGGCCAGGCTGGTCTTGAACTGCTGACCTTGGGTGATTCACCTGCCTTGGCCTCCCAAATTGCTGGGATTTCGGCCATGAGCCACCATACCTGGCCCAATAGCTAAATTTTAGTCATTACATTTTAACAAATGTTGAACAAGATCTCAACCTTTTTTTAATCTCCTCTCCTCAGAGTATGCTCAGGTAATCAAAATGTTGGGAAATGGACGATTGGAAGCACTGTGTTTTGATGGTGTAAAGAGGTTATGCCATATCAGAGGGAAATTGAGAAAAAAGGTAGGTGTGTGGGTTTCTTTTCCATAAAAGTTTGCTGTAAAAAAAAGTCTCTGCTTTAAATACATGGTCCAAGCAATTTATTTTTGTGAGTTCCCAAAATAATTTATGTAACAATGATCCATGTGACAATGTGAATAAAGAAAAAGTCTTTGATAACTTTTAGATTTACTTTTAAAGAATAATTTCTTTGTTTAACTTCTGTTGTATTCCTGCCAGAAATGTCTACCTTAGTATTGAAGAAACCAGACAAATCTAATATATAACACAAATGGTCTTGACTCAATTAAATGTTAATGCTGTGAAAGAATGAAAAATCTTCCTTTTTACTTTAGATTAAAAGAGATTAATCGGTGCATATCCCTTCATTAGGTTTTGGATTGGGGGAAATAGTTTTAGGTGGTACTATGAAAATTGGAATATGGAATATGTTAGACAATCTATTTGTTATAATACCACATCAGGTAGTTTTATAACTTACACTGATTAAAAGTCTCTACTACTCAGATTTTTAATTAAAATAATAATAACTTTTTTTTTGGCTGAGCTCTGTGGAAGTAGTAGCCAGCATACACTTGTAGTCCCAGCTGCTCAGGAGGCTAAGGCAGGATGATTGCTTGAGCCCAGCCCAGGAGTTCAAGGTTCCCATAAGCTAAAAATTGTGCTAATGCACTCCAGCCTGGGTGATAGAGCGAATCTCTATCTCAGAAAGCAATAAAAATAAAAAATCTTTTTGATATGTTAACATTCTTTCTTTTCCAAATTAGTGGCACTTTTAGGGGTTCTCTTAGTCCATTTGGGCTGCTCATTGACTGGGTAGATTATAAAAAACAGAAATTTTATTTCTCATAGTTTTGGAGAAAGAGAAATCTATTTAACATTTGGTGAGGACCCATTTCCTGATTATTATGTGGTGCCTTCTGGCTTAGTCCACACATGGTAGAAGTGATGAACAAGCTGCCTTGGACCTCTTTTTTAAAACCAAAGATTCCATTATTGAGTGATTAGCCCCCATCATGTAATCACCTCGCAAAGGTCCAACCTCCTAGTACCATCACCTTGGGGATTCAAATTTCACCATAAATCTTTTGAGGAACACAAACATTAAGACAAGAACGGGGCTGTATTTATGTAGATTGGGCGCTTTTTAGTCATTTTATGTAGACATATCTGTATTTTGGACAATTACATGTCTCTCAATTTCTGAGACAAAGGATCTTTTGGCAGTTTAAACTCTTGAGTAATTGAGATAAAATTGTTATATATTTTTTTAACTTTCTAAGTAAGAAAATTTTAACAAACTCAACTGGATACCGTAGTTTTTTCATGCCGTACCTTAACTATGTACTGCATACAACTATACTACAGATACATATTACAGTGTTTTTTTCCTAATTTATTTTTAATTTTTGAGGTAAGGTCTCACTGTGTTGTCTAGGCCTCTCTACATTGCCTAGGTTGTTCTCAAGCTCCTGCACTGAAGTAATCCTCCTGGCTTAGCCTCCCAGAGTGCTGATATAGGCATGAGACACCTCTCCTGGCATCTAATTAATTTATTATTTTTTCACACTAGGTGAATAGTATACCTGTTTTGTACATTTAGTAAAAATGTTTAGATTCACTAAACATTTTTTTCTTTTGATTTTTATTAAATTAAAAATTTAATGAAAGTTTTTATTTTTAAAATAATCTGCAGTAAATGTCTTACAGGTTTGGATAAATACTTCAGACATTATATTGGTTGGTCTACGAGACTATCAGGTAAAAATAACATTTAAATTTGTGTTGTGACTTTGTATTTAAGCAGTTGTTAATGTTTGGAAGGTACTATATACTAGCATCTTTGACCCGTTCCAGCCCAGGATGATTTCTCACCATTCTGCCTGCCATCATCATTTGTTTAGGGCCAGTTGTGTTTAAGACTATAGTATTTTTCAAATTTGAAATAATTCTCACAGATAGTTAAGGGTATATGTATTTTTGTGGAAAGACATAAATTTTTTAATTCTTTGTTTTCATTGCTAATGTGCAGTAAATATTTTCTTGCAGGCTTGGGCAAGTACTGTAGAACATTCTGTCCTAATCCATTTAAAGGCCAATGGTGTTTCAGGCATTCAGCGAGGTATTTCAGACATTGTAGTTCCCAAATGCCAGTCTGTGAAATAGTATTGGTGCAGGCTGAAATTTCAATGCTCTGAAGTCACATTAGAAGATAACATAGTTAGGATGTTCTTCATGGAACACAATTGTTTGTTTACTTTTTAAATATATATTTTAATAACCTTTTTTTAAATGAGAAAGATAATATATAAGGTAGTAATTTTTATTAGTGTTCTAATTTGGCAAAGGAAAATTTAGTAATCTGGAGACTCATTTACCTAAAATTATTTTTAATATTAATATTTTGAAATTTAAAGTTCTTGAAATCCACATCTGGGAAACCACAAGTCTAGTTGATGCAGTTGAGTAAGTTGGTTCTCCTTTAAAAGTTTTATAGTTTGGTAGTGTAAAGTTAAGATATGCGTACCAAGTAGTTACGGTACAAACTGTTGTAAAGTACAGGCTATAAATTTAAAGTGAGCAGTGTATAACAAAGACAGTGGTGGGGTAACTGTTTAATCTGCAGTGTTGAAACTGTTTACATGCTATAGGTCTGTAAAATACATTTGATTTCTATCCATGGAACTCATCACCATTGCTTAACCACATTGAAAAAGTACTCCTATGTCTATATTTTTATTCTCTTAATATTAGGTAAAGTTTTCTGTAGTCATCTGTTAAATGTAGTTGGTTTATAATGTTCAAGTCTTCTGTTGATCTTTTGTCTGATTCTTTTCATTACTGTAAGTGGCATATTGAAGTTACTCTACTTTTCATCTTGAGAATTTCTACTTTTTGCATGACTTCAGTGTCTTTATTGACTTTCTGTTTAGTGAAATACCATTTTCATAATTTTCTTAACATTTTTAGACAGGATTTCTTTTTAAGTCTTTAAATATGTTTATAATCTCTCAGATAAACCAAGTCCAACTTCTGGGATTCCTCAGGAATAGTATTTTTTTTTCCCCCTGTGTTTGAGTCACTTTTTTACGTCTCTCTTTCTTTTTTTTTAAGCTGAACATTTTAACTACAACATAGCAGTTCTAGAAATCAGATTCCTACCTCTCAGCGTTGTTGTTGGTACTGCTTGTTTGGTGACTTTTCTGAACTAATTCTTTGGCCATTGAATAGTTGGTTAGTTTAGTGGGCAGTTCATGTTTCAATTAAGATTTCATTAAAATGAGCAAGATTTTAATCATTTAAAGAGGAATATTGTACATTTAGAGGAATACTTTCAACATTCAGCCAATGTCAGTCAACTGACACCTCTTCCTTAGTCTTCATTTCTTGCTGTGCAGGATCTGAAGTTCAGTTGGGTAATATTAGGGCTTTCCTATGTCTTTCTTTATCGTGTGCGCTACCCTGTACACATATTTGGCCTTTAAGATTTGCCAGAAGTATGTTAGACTTTACAAATTTCCTATGGATATCTCATTCCAAAGCTTTTCCAAGATTTTTGGTTATTATTTGTCCCAACTAGTATTACCACTTAAGGCATGTTAAAAAATTGCCACAGATTCCAGCACTTTGGGAGGCCGAGGCAGGTGGATCAGGAGGTCAGGAGATCAAGACCATCCTGGCTAACAAGGTGAAACCCCATCTCTACTAAAAATACAAAAAATTATCTGGGCGTGGTGGCAGGCATCTATAGTCCCAGCTACTTCGGAGACTGAGGCAGGAGAATGACATGAACCTTGGAGGCGGAGCTTGCAGTGAGCTGAGATTGCGCCACTGCACTCCAGCCTGGGTAACAGAGTGACTCTGTCTCAAAAAAAAAATTTGCCACAGGTTGTTTTTTCTACAAAAGTCCTGTGTGGTAAACCACAGTGAATAAGCTCTGAATCAAATGAGTTAAAGAAAAACTCTTAAAATGGGAGTTTCCAGGAACTGCCACGAAATTCTCTGTAGAATGATGTTACCAAAGAACTTCAGACTTGCTCTGTGCTTTTCAGTAGCTGCTATGCTGTTGGTTTTTATTAAACTGAGATGAGGAATGGAAATAGGCCACACTGCTTTTTCTTAGTAAGATTCACCTATATTTCTTGCATAAATGCTCCTTAGTGTTTATTGCATTCATTTGGTTAATTTTCAGATTTCTGATATATGGATTTTGACCATTTATGTCAGTGTTCTCATTTCTTTTATGAAGGAACAAATTTTAGCAAGTGCGTATTCTGCCATACCTGCAATCACTGCAGGAAGGCGTTTATTTTGATAGACTTAATTACACATTGACTTTGTTTCTTCTTCATATATCAAACTAAAAAGTTGTACTGTGTATTTAAAATATTATTTTTATGAACATTATGTTATTCTAATCATCAATTTAACAAAATCTGGTTTGCACATATGGTTTGAAAAGTGTTCTATTTCATACTGCCTTTTTGCCAGATCACTTTAGTTTACATCTTACTTAGATTGTAAATTGTAAGCAATCAGAACCCTCCTTACTCCAAGTTGGATAAAATACTTTCAATTGAGGAAGTGTGAACATCTTAGGAAAGTGGTTCTTGGTGTTTGCATTAGAAACACTCACCCAGAAAAGCTTTTAAAAATATGCATTCATGTACTACACCCCAGGCAGTTCTACTTTCACTCTTAAGGAAGTAGGTATCTATTTTTTAAATCAAGCTATTTTTCAAGTTCCATAGACAATTCTGATAGATACTAAGAATTGATGCTTAGAAAAATTTATTACTGTTTTGTTTGTTTGTTTTATGGAGTCTCACTGTTGCCCAGGCTGGAGTGCAGTGGCTTAATCTTGGCTCACTGCAAGCTGAGCCTCACGGGTTCATGCCATTCTCCTGCCTCAGCCTCCTGAGTAGCTGGTACTACAGATGCCTGCCACCATGCCTAGCTAATATTTTGTATTTTTAGTAGAGACGGGGTTTCACTGTGTTAGCCAGGATGGTCTCCATCTCCTGACCTCATGGTCCACCAGCCTCGGCCTCCCCAAGAGCTAGGATTATAGGCGCGAGCTACCACGTTCAGCCTAGAAAAGTGTATTACTTTTTTTAACATCATTATTCTTTAGTCCATTTTTAGTTTTGAATTGCAATGTTTGACCTAAAAAGTTTTATATTACAATTTTTTTGAATAAGTCTTTTGTTTTTATTCAAGAGACTTGTAATTAAAAGGGAATAGTAAATAAAAGCACTGTGCTTGCCTTTTGTGCTTTTATTAAAGTGAAATCTCTACAATCTTTTCTAAGCTGTTAATCATTTTTTACTAATGAACATAAGCCACTTCCTAAAGACTCAAGAATATTTTTCTAAAGGGTATTGGGGTAGGCAAAGGAAAGCAGGAAAGTTTGTAACTAACAGTAGGTGGGAATTTTTTAGATGTGTTCAATTTGAAAGTAATTTGTGAAACAAGTGATATTTTGATAAACGACGTTTTTAAAGTTATTTGTTTATTTCTAAGGATAACAAAGCTGATGTAATTTTAAAGTACAATGCAGATGAAGCTAGAAGCCTGAAGGCATATGGCGAGCTTCCAGAGCATGGTAATATCAAAATGATTTTTTCTCCTTGTTATTTGGTGTTAATGTTTGTTGGTATTTAGATGAAGGTATATCCGCAGAACTCTTGTGTTACATACTGTTTTAGTGTATACTTAAAAGTTTTTTATAAGTAATCTTGCGTATACTTCAGTGAACTTATAATACTTTGCAAAAGTATTAATAACTGGAAATCTCTAATAAAGACATTGTGAACTTGACAGTAAAAATCTCTAATAAAGAAATTATGAATTAGGAAAGTTCCTTTAGTGATGAGTTTATGAATTCATAAGCTCTGGGTTTGTATATAAGATCTGTCGTAAGCTCTGGATTTGTATATAAGATCTGTCAAATGAATACTTTTTTATGGTGTTTTTCTAAACAATTCTCAAGACTGGCAGTTTTCATTTAAGCATAGGCAACAAATGTAATACTAATGTTTGAGTCTTATAGATAAAAAGTATTCAGTTCATCTTAGCAAAGTTGTAACTGTGAGATTATTTTTAACAAATAATTGTGTTTTCTTTTTCTTAAAGGCAAACACAATGCATACTTACTACAGAAAACTTGACAAGATTGCAATAAGTCCCTCATGACACCGTCAAAGAGAATATACACTGTTTTAAAGCCTATATATTTTACTTGGCAGCTCTTTTCATTATTTATCACATTGCATTTTATGAAAACAAGATTTTTATATAAACATGAAGATCCTGATGAAATTATTGACATTTCAGGAAGTGCTGAAATAACTGGGAGTTCGTCTAGCACCTCCTTTTTTCACTTTTATTGCTTAGGGATAAGCATGATTGTGATTTAACCCAGTATTTCTCACTGATTTGATAAGTCTGTTTAAATAATTGGTTAACTAGCTGTTGTAATTTCAAGAGAATTTTATATATCTTGAGAATAAGTTGTTATCCTGTGCTCAAATCCTTTTTGAAGGCTACCTGGAAATGTTTGGCTATTGAGCTGGTATAATCAGAGTCTGCCTACCATACTTAAAATACCTTTTGTATATGTGCTAAGTGAGAATTAAAAATACCTTTAAAAAAAAAAAAAGAAAAATACAGCACACTACAGCACATTCGTTCTTTGTTTTTTGAGACAGAGTCTCACTCTGTCACCCAGGCAGGAGTGCATTGGCACCATCTCAGCTCACTGCATTCTCTGCCTCCCGTGTTGAAGCTATTTTCCTTCCTTCCCCTCTGAGACTACAGGCATTTGCCACCACATCCGGTTAATATTTTTTTTTTTATTTTTAATTGAGACCAGTTTTCACAATGTTGGCCAGGCTGGTCTCAAACTCCTGATCTCCAGTGATCTGCCCACGTTGGCCTCCCGAAGTGCTGGAATTACAGATAAAATATTTATTATATAATCATGTATATAATACATGATTGTTTGTTTGTTGTTTTTACCTTTAGCTAAAATCAATGAAACAGACACATTTGGTCCTGGAGATGATGATGAAATCCAATTTGATGATATTGGAGATGACGATGAAGACATTGATGATGTAAGTAGATAAACCTAATAGGTTTTTTGTTTTATCTATAAACTTCACAGTCCTTTGGGGTATTCTTTACTGCAAAAATCAATTTTAGCTTTGGCAGTAGGCACTTCATAATCAAAGTTAAGTAAGAGTGTCTAAAGAAATAGTTTTGAAAACATGTCCTCTATTAAGAGAAATGCTTAATATGTTAAAAAGAAGAATCTTGTTTGAACCAGTTTGATGCAGCATTGAAAATTATGACATACTTGAAAGCCTTGTTGAAATGGAAGGCCTGTTGCCAGGGCATGTAATAGAATTACAAGGTTGAGCATCAATTTATACTGGCCAGACTGTTGTTTTGGAGTTAGCTTGTGCTTGTTTTGTGGAAGTGATTGCTTTTCCTAGTAACAAAGCATCGCAGTTTGCAAAGCAATAAATGCTTCAACTTGCTTTTTCAGTTAAGTGTATTGAAATTAAATTCACCTTAATTTTTCTTTCCTCTCTCAGAGAGAGAGACAGAGAGAGAGACAGAATGTGTGTGTATTGGATATGGAATTGATTGGTATAGCTTATACTTCATTTCGGCTTAGGCTTTTTTGTCAATATCCCTATAATAAAAATGTTTAGAAACCACCTGTATATACCACACCCAAAAGTTATGATTAATTAGATACTAAGAAGAAATTATAGAATACCTAAAGCAGTTGTTCTTGATGTAAGCTGTGCAATTACTGGAGCTTTTAAAAATTACAAAGTCTGGCAGAGCACAGTGGCTCAGCACTTACAAAGACCTGTAATCCCAGCACTTTGGGAGATGTGGGCAGATCACAAGGTAAGGTGTTTAAGAGCAGCTTGACCAACATGGTGAAACTTCGTCTCTACTAAAAATACAAAAATTAGACAGGCATGGTAATGCATGCCTATAATCCCTGCTACTCAGGAGACTGAGGCAGGATAATCGCTTGAACCCAGGAGACAGAGGTTGCAGTGAGCCAAGATTGCATCACTGCACTCCAGCCTGGGCAACAGAGCGAGACTCTACCTCAAAAAAAAAAAAAAATTATAAAGGCTAAACTTCGGAAAGTCTAAAACAGGCACTACTGATGGTCACACTTCGTTGAATACCACTGTACTACATCAGGGTTCTCTACAGCTTTTCTTTTAACAACATGTTTATTAAGATTGTGTTGAAACTGTTCAGAGGAATAGAAGGATTTTTAAATTTATTTGTAAACATTCATATACTCACCAACAAGATTACACAATTTACAGTTTTTCTCATCTATCACATCCATCCTTTATTCATCTGATATTACACCTTATATTTTGGCACATTTTCAAACTATTACTTACACTTTGAGTTAAAGAAAATAAACTGAGTCCATAATTGTATTGTATATATGTATTTATAAATTTTTACAACATGAAGTATTCTATATTTATAAAATTTTTAATTTTTTTTCTTTGGAGTTGTTTCTGAGTTTTAACACTACTCTAATGTAATATAAATTTTAAAGTATACTCAAAAGGAGAAAATGAAAAGGGATGAAAAATCTATTGTTCTTGTGATCCCAGGAAATCTGAGACAGGTCTCAGTTAATTTAGAAAGTTGATTTTGCCAGTGTTGAGGACGCACCCATGACACAGCTTTGGGAAGCCCTGAGGACATGTACCCAAGGTGTTTGGGGCACAGCTTGGTTTTGTGCATCTTACAGGAGACATGAGACATCAGTCAGTATGTGTGAGAAGTACTGTTGGTTCAGTTTGGAAAGCGGGGGCATTTTCTTAGCCTTTCTAAAGGAGGCAGTCAGATATGCATCTAACTCAATGAGCAAAAGGATAACTTTGAATAAAATGGGAGGCTGGGTTGCCTTAAGCAGTTTCCATCTTTTTTCTTAGTAATGTTGGGGACCCAAGATATTTTCCTTTCATTCTAATATTTTCTTCATGTACCTCCCTTTGGGGACCTTGAGCCAGAGGTTTTTCTGGGGATTAAACAGAATTGGCATATACTTCATGTTGCAATATCTAAAAGCATAAATATTGTGTTGTAGATTAAGGGCAAATCTGAACATTTCCACAGTTGGTGACCTTGGAGGCCTCTTTGGAAAATTCAGAGAAGCTATCCAGACTGCATACAGGAACACAAAGCTATATACACAGATGTTAGAATAAGGATCTAAACATGGCTAAGATTTTTCTCAGGGTGTTGTGGGGAGAAACTTCTTAGATTTATGCCATTTCCTTTGGAATTAGGATGAGTAGGATACCGGGGGAAGGGATGTAAAGACAGTGGCTATTAAAGAAAGTTTAGTTTCTGTTGAGTATTTATAAGAGTTTCTTTTGCTTATTATAAGAGAACACTGTAGAAGATTTGTAGTTCTGGTTTTACCTCTGTGATTAAATGGACTCAGAATTTGATTAGGACCATATTTATCCCATTCTTAAAGGAATTACATGTATTTTGTCTGTGTACACCCCCAGAACATAAGATCTGTAATTACTACTAAAAAAGGTAGTAAGGAGATGCAAAACTTCAAAAATGTTCTGATACATGATACACAGTGACATTCTGAAAAAGCATAAAGATTTAGTGGTAACATAAGGAAATGAGAAAAATCTAATATAAAGAATACTCAGTTCAAAACGATTTACTTCACACTTTACCATTGGGAGTCTTTATATGCAGTAGAATGTTGTAATAAGAGTTATCTTCCTATGTATCTGATGATGATCTTTTCAATTACAGATCTAAATTGAACTGAGTGTTTTTACATGACAAGTTTTCTGAGGATTGTTCTACAGTTGGGATTTTGGCCATCATCAGTTAAGAAGAGAAATTCATTCAGTGTGTATTTCTGAAAGCAAACTGATTTATTTTCAATGTTTTAAAGTATTTATTTCTTTGGAAGCTGATGACCCTGAATTATCTTGTTAAATGTTAATACTTTATTGTTTCGATGTAATGGAACTTAGGAATAAAAGACCATAATATTTACCATTAAAAGAAATAAATGAATGCCTTTCCTACTCTAATAACTTCAAGTAATTGGATATTTTGAATACATTTCTGCCTTATAATCATGCTGGGTTCTAATAAGCCCTACTTCCAGCTAATCTGTTTATAGACTTTCTGTATGTTTCAGTTACTTACGTGTTCTCGTAAGGTTTCTGATAAAATTTGAATACAGAAATCTCCATTTAGAATCAGAAAAAAATTGACATTTTTTGTATATATCTAACCATATATATTTTTATAGTAACATTGATAGTTTATAAATTGTTTTTGTCCTTTGTGCACTAGTTATTAAGGAAAAAGAATATGTCCAACAGTTTTTAAAGTGTGGCAGTTTTGAGTAGTAATTCAGAATGTGTAAGATTAAGAGTTGCAGAAATTGAACAATAGATGGCAACCAATTATCTTAACATTGGAAATACTAGGATGCCATTTTGTTTTCAAAAGTTATTCATTGTAACCCACTGTTTTGCCTTTGATGAACAAGTGAATTACAATGTATAAATGAAGAACTAATTTCATAATAAATTCTCTAAACTGAGCCATTCTTATACTGTCCCTAAACTGCCATAGGAGGAGGCAACCATACTGAATGAAAAGATAGTTTCAACCTAGGTTCAGTAGTTCACACCTGTAATCCCAACACTGTGGGAGGCCAACGTGGGCAGATCATCTGAGGTCAGGCATTCAAGATCAGCCTGACCAACATAGCAAAACTTCGTCTCTACTAAAAATACAGAAATTAGTGGGACATGGTAGTGCATGCCTGTATTCCCAGCTGCTCAGGAGCCTAAGGCAGGAGAATCGCTTAAACCCGGGGAGGCAGAGGTTACAACGATCCGAGATCTCACCACTGCACTCCTGCCTGGGCAACAGAGTGGGACTCTGTCTTACAAAAAAAAAAAAAATTGTTTGTTACCTGAATGGAAAAGCCACAACAAGTAATGTAATAAAAAAAAAAAAGACAATGTGTAGCCAGGGGTGGTAGCTCACCCCTGTAATCCCAGCACTTTGGGAGGCCGAGGCGCATGGATCACAAAGGATATTCAGACCATCCTGGCTAACACAGTGAAACCCCATCTCTGCTAAAAATACAAATTAGCCAGGCCTGGTGGCAGGTGCCTGTAGTCCCAGCTACTCGGGAGACTGAGGCAGGAGAATGGTGTGAACCCAGGAGGCAGAGCTTGCAGTGAGCCAAGATTGTGGCACTACACTCCAGGCTGGGCAGCAGAGCAAGACTCTGTCTCAAAAAAGAAAAGTTCAGTATATTTTTGGCCTAGCTTTATGTTGTTACTGCATTTCATTGTGCACACTAGTTTTTATTTTTATTTTTTTGTATACATACTATTAAGAATTTATATCATAATCTTCCATATTAAAGTTTTCTTAAAGTTCTAAGGTGAATATAAAGGCTGGACTTGTTAAGAGTTCATTGGGAACTGTTAAATCTTACATAATTTTAATAGGATAGTCTTCAGTTAGTTTGTGAAACATTTGTTCTGAAAAATTTTCAGTAATGAAAATATAAAGGGAATCTGTCATCACATGGTTTTAGTAACAGATATATATGAGAGAGAGAAAAATTTCCTATGGCTTCTTAAAATCTTGCCATTTTATTTCTTTAATGTGAAAAACTCTGGATTCAAAATCTAAGGCCACAATGTTGGCACATTGTTAAATCTAAGAATAAGAAATAGAAGCTCACAGTGTATGCAATAATACCACTTAACCACAAATAAAATAAAAGAGGAATACACCTAACCAGAGAGGTGGAAGATTCCTAAAAGGAGATAAAACACTGTCAAAAGAAATCAGAGATGACGTAAACGTTTCATGCTATTGAACTGGAAAAATCAATATTGTAAAAAATGGCTATAGTGCTGAAAGCAATTTTTAAATCAAACTACCATTCATTCTTCAAAGAACTAGGAGAAAAAATAAAAATAAAAAATTCATGTAGAAACAAAAAAGTACCCAAATAGCTAAGCAATCCAAAGCAAAGGAACAAAACTTCAGGCTTCACACTGTCTGACTTCAAACAATACTACAAAAGCACAGTAACCAGAACACCTTGGTACTTGCACAGAAACAGACACATAGACAAATATAATAAATTAGAAAACTCAGAAGTAAAGCCATGCACAATCATGTGATCTTTGATAAGGACAACAAATGGGGAAAGGACTTCTCATTCAATGAATGATGCTGGAATAACTGGCTTGTCATATGCAGAATATTAAAGCTGGACCCCTGTCTTTTACCATATACAACAATTAAGTCTTCAATATGGGAAAGCTGTCTGGAAAAAAAAAAAAAGATGGATTAAAGATTTAAATGTAACACCACACTAAAAATTCTGGAGGAGAGTATTTCTCCTGTTGTGGAGCAAGATTGCTGAATGGAAGGTTCCACTTATTTTTGCCACCACAGGAACACCAAATTTAATAACTATCTCAAAAATGAAACGAAAAATCTGGCGAGCTCTCACAGTACCTACTTTTAAATTAATACTGCTGGAAATGGAACTAAAGAGAGCAAGAAAGACAGTCTTGAATTACAGACAACACCCCTATCCCACCCCCCAGCAGTGGCCATCTGGTATGGCAAGATAATTTGTGCTAGTGAGAGGGAGAACACAGTGATTGTGAGACTTTGCATTTAACTCAGTGCTGTCTTACCACATTGGAAAACAAAACTGCTTAACTCAGCTGATGCCTGTCTATGAAGGGAACATCTAGACCAGCCCTAACCAGAGAGGAATTGCCCATTCCAGCAGTTAGAACTTGAGTTCTGGCCAACCAGAAGGCAAAATGCTCTGGTGACCTACATAATCCTAAAAGGTAACCTGGGCCACAAAAACTGCAAATCCAAGACAAGTCCTAGTGCTGGGCTAGGCTGAAAACCAGTGAACTTGGGGATCACATGAGACAACAACTGGGTTGGCTGAGGGAGTACTTTGACCATCCCTCCCTGAACCCCAGGCAATGCAGCTCATGGCTCTAAAAGATACCCCTTATTTCCACTTAAGGAGAGAATTTTAAAAAGTAGAAGAGACTTTGTCTTGCATCTTGGATACTAGGTCAGCCACAGTAGGCTAGGGCAACTGGTCAGTGTTGTGAGGCCCCACTATTCATAATAGCCAAGATTTTGAAACTGCCTCAGTGGTCATCAACAGAAGAATGGATAAAGAAATGTGCTACAATGCAGAACAGATTTCTATTTAGCTATAAAAATAATTAGATCCTGGAACTTGTAACAACCGAGATGGAACTAGATTTTATTATGTTAAGTGAAATGAGTTGGGTACATACAGAAAAACTTCGCATGGTCTCACCTGTGTCGGAGCTATAAGTTGAAACAATTGATCTCATGTAAATAGAGCATAGAACGGTGGGGAACAGGCTGGTAAGGGTGTGAGAAAAGGGGCATGATTAATGGATACCAACGCTATTTAGAATTAGTGAATATTATCTAGTATATGCTACCACAATTGAATGAGTATAGCGGAAAATAATTGTATTTTTAACAACTAAAAACTAGTCAAAATTAATGACACTTAAATAAAGGAATAGAAAAATTTTAGCACAAAGGCTAAATGCTTGAGGTGATGGATATGCCATTTGCTATTATGCATTTCATGGCTGTGTCAAGATATGTCAACCCATTAATGTGTGCACCTTGTGTGTACTACTCCCCAAAATTAAAAGTTAAACTCTGAATGACAAGCTAGGAATACTCTCCTTGATATCAATTTTGGCAAATAATTTTGGGCTAGGTTACATTTAGCAATTGCAACAACAAAACAAATACAGGCAAGTGAAATTAAACTAAAAGACGCATGGCAAAAGAAATTGTCAACAGAGCAAAAAACCTACAGAATGGTTGAAAATATTTACAAACTATACATCCAACAAAGGCTTAGCATCCAGAGCGCACAGTAAAGTGAAATGAATCAGCAAGGGAAAGCCTCATTTTAAAAAAATGGGCAAAGGTCATTAACACTTTTTATAAGATGTACAGGTGGTTAACAAATACATAAAAAGCTGTTCAGCATCACTAATCATCACAGAAATGCAAATGAAAACCACAATGAGATATCAACTGACACCAGTCTGAATGGCCGTTATCAATAAGTCAAAAGCCAACAGAGGCTGGCAAGGCTATGGAGAAAAGGAAACACTTACACCCTATTGGTGATAATATAAATTAGTCCAACCACTGTGGAGAGCAGTTTGGAAATTTCCAAAAGAACTCAAAACTGAGCTACCATTCAACCCAGCAAGCCCATTAATAGGTGTATACTCAATAGCAAATAAATTACTCTACCAAAAAGACAAATGCACTCATACGTAATCACTGCTATTCACAATAGCAAAAACATAGAATCAACCTTGGTGGCCATCAGTGGTAAACAGGATAAAGAAAATATGCTGTATGTATGCTGTGAAACACTATGCAGCCATAAAAACAGTGAAATCATATTCTTTGCAGCAATATGGATGGAACTAGAAGTCATAATCCTAATCAAATTAATGCAGATACAGAAAACCAAATGCCACATTTTCTCACAAGTGGAAGTTAAGCATTGAGCACACATTGGCATAAATAGAGGAACGATAAAAACTAGATGACTAGAAATGAGAGGTTGGGGAGGGGATTGAAAGCTACTTACTGGGAACTATGCTACCCACCTGGGATGATGGGATTTCTACTTACAAAACAGCACTCCATGATATTCTTATGTAACAAATCTGCACCTGAACTTTTATATCTGAAAGTTAACATTTAACAATAAATAAAATAAAGGAGACAGGAAGAAACGAAATCAGAAACAAAATTATCACTGATTAGAACTACAGAAAATT